TGTCATGGGCTGGAATTATTTTAATGCCAGCCAAATTAACGGTTAAACGGTTAAATGATTAAGAAAATTTTTAAAAGATTCTATTATGATAATATTAAGGGGAATTTACACATAAAGGCCCAAAAATGAAAATAATTACGGATGAGAGCCCGAAATAAATTTATTACAAATAAGAACCCATCTGATCTCCGAGCTTCGCCCCAAAAAATGATTAATTTTTACATGAAAAACTAAATGTACTATTCATAAATCTAGCTAACCAACTTATAAATTTACAAATTTTAACACATTGATTAAAAAGATCTTTATACATAACTAACTAAATAACACGAATGAAATATATACTATTAAAATCCTTTGTATTCACTTAAAAGAATCAAACAAAATTATATGAACAGTACTATGTGGTAGTATTTATTTCTAAAAAGTTTTATACTCATCAAAATTAATGCGAACAGGTGTATGTTCAACTAACTAAATTAATAAGAAGGAATGTTCACAAACTTGAATCACTTATTTAATTAATTAGCAAAATCAACACGAATCAATGAGGCACTGAATAACTATATATAATTTTAGCGATATAATGTAATTCACGCGTTTGGTTCAGTTATATCTTTGTGAATACAACACGACAAAAATTCTCAAAGTAAAAGTGAAAGCCAAAATGAATTTAAAAAGAAGTTCAAAGTCAAAACGAAAGATAAAGCGAAAGTCATAATGAAAGCCAAAATGAAAGAAAAGTTAAAGCGAAAATTAAAATGAGAATCAAAGCGAAGGCCAGGTGAATTCAAATAATGGTTATCATTAAGATGATAAACATAACTTTACCGGCAATCAGTTTTCGAAGTTATATGTAAGCCAGCAAAAAATCCTTCTCTGGCCAACACTATGTAAGTCATGTGGCTTAGTCGCCCAGCACAGCTCGGAGATCGGACAGGTCCTAATTTGTAATAATTGAGCCGCTACGTAAGAATTTTTATTTTGGCCCTCATCCGTAATTATTTCGTTTTTGGTCTTTGTCGTTGTGTAAATTTCCACTAATATTAATAAATTGTATAATTAATTAATATTATTCATAAGATTTCTATGCGAAATGCATAATAAAAAATATACAAATCAATTTCTCCTTCTTACACTATCGTTATTAATCGTTTTTTTTTAATAAATGAAAATTTGTCAACGTAGTGATTGTTAATTACTTGCAACTTCGGTAGGTAAATTATAATGTGAAGGTCGAATGATTCAACTCATTATTATAGTATGGCTCGAAAATTTCAAGTTTACTTAGAGCATTTGGCCTGGAGATAATCTACCGGGCTTCCAAAAAAGTATTGTAAGTATTATGATTACGGTTTTTCTAAGTATTTGGAATATTCCATTGCCTATTAAAATGATTATATAATCCTCCAACTTATGCAATGGCACAAAGTTTTTATTAATACTATTGAGCCATTTGTTACTATTTGGATTTATTATGTTTTCGTCAATAATTTTTTGTTGCTGCGTTTCTGGATTCGAATAAATAATCAAAGTTATAATCCTCCGGAAGAGCATTAAAAATAAAATCTAAAAGGCTTTATGATACAATTGCATTTTTCTTGATTAGTTTTTATAATTTTATTTCAATTTTCATTCTTTTTCGTTTATTGTTGGTGGAAATTTGGTTACGGTAATTAACATATACAGCATTAGTATTTTTTTATAATAGTGTGTTTATTGGATCGTATGCTTTTAACGATCGCTTTTCACTTTAAAGAATCGAAGAAAAAAAACTTCAATTATGTTAATATTTTAGTAAATATTATTAACATGATTTAATCATGATGAATTGACAATATCACATGATTTTCGAAACTTTTTTAGGTGGCGATTTTACTTCAGTCGGTTTCACTCTCACGCGCTCATATAAAAAAAAGTGAAATAGTCCTATGGGCTAACTTTCTCGTGATTGGTGAGTCATATGAAATTGAATATTATACTATTTCTTAAACTCGTTTTCCTAAAGCTTATTCCATTTATTATACTAAAGTAAAATGAGACCTAAAAATCTGTTTTAACTAACCGTTTATACATACGTATTACGTAAAATTCTTTAAACTGTTTTAAACCATTATATACATGGTTCAGCAAAACGGTTTAAAAAAAGATGTTAGTTTTTTTTTACGAAATCAAGTACATCCGCCATTTAAGAAACATATATAGCTCTATAATTATAATATACGTAGAAATTTTTACCTTCTAAATAAAAAACCCTAGGTTAAGGATCTTTTTGCATAGTAACTGTCGGTGCTTCACTGAAAATAGAAATGAGTTTAATTTTCGCTTTTTACCTATAAAATGTTACATTCTTAAAAAGTACTCTAGGCTGTATAAATAGCGGTTCCCAATCTAGAATTTAGATATTTTATTAATGCAATATTAAATGTTTAAGGATAGTGAATTAGTCACGAGACCGTCATTTTTTTGCGCGATTGCATTACAAATTTCTGAAATCCGGTTTTCAAATATAGTTGTGCAAACATTTCGACTGTTTAATTTCTAAATCAGGAAATTGATAACGATAGGGTTACTTTTTTGATGATATAGAAACTTCACCTCTTTAGCGGGGCCTTTGACGGTCACATAAAGTATGCACACTTACGTATTTTAAATATCTATTTTTTTCACGACAAATCTTAACACGAATTTTTTAAGGTAGATTCATTAATTATTCGAAACGGCACTACACATTAGTAGTACTTATGCTACGTACTAAAAATACAAGAAAGAAGCTACGGTTCCAGAGTTCCAGAAGAAAAAATGACGTATTTTTATTATTAGTTCTTAAATTGCAAACCCTTCATGCTACCTTTCTCTTTGTGCCAGTTTGACGGCTGAATAGATAATATGGACGGATGGTCTCCTAGAGTTGGACAATCGTATTTGAAAAGAAACTGCTACCACTGCAACTACCGTTACCACTGCTACTGCCGTTACCACTGCTACTACTGTTACCACCAAGGTAGAGAAGATCCAATAAAAAGAGTGGGTTGGGTGGGCCGCTTCAGGAAGAACACTAAAAAAAGTGGTTGTCAGAAAAGTCTGTTTCTGGCATATGATCGATAGTTTGTGAAGTAAGGTTTACTAGTTCTTTATAAGGAACTAGTTACAATTTTTCCTTACTCTTTGAAAGAAGTTTTGCATACTACGAATGAAATAAATGAATTTACTTAATGATCATTATCATTAACAAATTTTTTTATTATATAAATGAAAAGAACTGATCGAACAAGTATCCTTTTTCAGTTTTGTTTTTTTCTTCGAAATACCATCCAAAAATTTTTTTTTCAAATCGTATGATTTAATAATTACAATATATCAATTGTTATATAATACTTATTACAGTATTAATAAAATTTTCATAAAAATAGGAAAAACGAAAGTATAATGCAAATCATATGACCTGAATTTTTTTGGGTGATAATTTAAACCCGGTTCTGCTGATCTGTTGCCAGATTTTTCAGAATTTATGAAAACAGTTGTAATTTCTTGGTTCTCATAATCCGACCGGCTAGTTTTTTTTTCTATTTTTATTTACAGCCGTTCTCATAAATTTTGGAAACTTGGTCGAGTGATTATTTGGCGATTCGGTAAGTTCGTGATTTCGGTAATGAGCGATTATGTAATAAAAATCAGTGTTCTATTGATAAAAATTATATTCTATTTTAATTTCTATTGCTCTATTCTATGGTTCTATTGTTCTATTTATTTATTGCTATATTAATATCTAATTATGATAATTTTTTGTTCTATTGACAAAAATCTTATTCTATTGCTTTGTTCTATTGTTCTATTCATCTATTGCTGGTAATAATGTGTATGTTGTACGTCAAATTTAAATAAATACAGAATTTCATTAAGGTTAGGTGAAAACTTATGTTACGTAGGGTGTGAGGGTATTGACGCACAACATATATATTGTAATATCATAAATTTATATTAAAATTTAATCGAACATAAGACTTCAAAACGTGAATAAATAAGATAAAGATAATCATTTTATGTATATTGAAAATTTTTAAACAAAATAATACAATATATAAATTTTTACTTTTATTTCGTGATTATAATTCTCAACATAGCTTTGACAAATGTCAATAAAATCACAATTCGAGTTATGTTTTCTTTAGCCCAGTCAATAAATTCTTTATCGCATCGAATTTTTTTTATTAGTGCTTACTTGTGTTTAGGACATTTGTTATGTTTTTTATTATGTTCCATTGGTTGACAAGAACAATCTTTATCATAAATTCTCGTAAAGACTAAACACACAAAACGTACTGGACATACATTTAAGCGAAAACCTAAAAAAAAGAAACATGAAGTTTGGCTTTCAATGACAATCTGATAGTTGATCATTATGTTGATGCACATTTACGATTTAAATTCGAGCCAAATTTTGGAAAACAAACTTTATCTACCACTGTAAAAAAGTAGATTGTACAAATAGTCAAAATACAAAATTCTCAACAATTTCTACTGATTATATTCTTATTATAATCTCCGAATTTAGAGAACATGAAATATACGTATTTAAAGCCAGGAAACGGTATTAAATGTAAAGGGTTCTTTTGCCAAAAAATTAAATATTACGTACATAAATATCAGAAAAATATCTTTAACCTTTTATCATTTATTCTAAATATATATTTTCAAAAAGAATTATCATTCATCACTGGTAACGTGAAAATCGAAGCGATTAAAAAAAAATTCATCGCGAAATTTGGGTTAGGAAAGTCTTTTAACTATTATTCTGCCAAACCTAAACACTAGTCTTAACCCGGTCGCTATTTGTTTTGTTTTGATTAAGATAAGATCAAACCAAACCAAATGATTGGTCGATCAGAAGGTAGCGATGCACTGACGATAAAGATAATTGTCTTTCAAAAAATAAGTTTAAAAATCTATATAATTAATATTTTTCAGCCATTATCAACGTAACTAATGAAGTCCAACCGTTAAATGGATGACTATTTCAAAATAAGATTTCATTTAACAATAATTATATTAAACCAATTTAATTATATATATAAATATAAAATATATATACCTTCTTACTCCCTCCCCATTAATAGCAGAATATTGTTCCCATGAATATCCAGTCCTGTTGAACTCCTAAATTACCCAATTAAATAAACTTTTTTATCCAAATATCTATTATATATATATAAACAAATATGAAGTATAAATACAACTTACATTATAAACATTATTAATTATATTATCTCTCAACTCTTTATATATTTTTTTTGCTTTTTCTTGATATGGCCCTGGTTTTGCTGCATAATTCTATTTTAATTGATTAAAAATAAAATTATACAACCATAGCAAATTCAAATTATAACTAATAATACCAATAAACCAATCCTAAATATTATATTCATTAAATATAAATAACTTACTTTATACAAAGATGACAAAACAAAATAATTAATATTTATCCAGATAGGTCCTCTCCAATAATTTTCTTCTGTATTAAAGTATTTATCAGATATTGAAAGTGACCTTAATCCATAACTATTTGATTATTGTTAATGTTTTTGTTTAGATTTGTTATTAAAAATAATAACCAATATGTAGCCAAAATCTTTTTAATCTATTTTTTTTTTTAACAGAAAAGGGATACGGTGACCATAGCTCCTCAGGATTATACATTAATTCCAAAATAGCACCAAGCTTTGGTGAATCATTTGGTAAAAATCCATGTAACATTGGGAATAATGATAAATAGCCTTTATGACACACATGAACTGATTCATCTGTTATGGAGGAAATTAATTTGAATGCTCTGTAATAGAATTTAAATACGATTCGAAAATATAACCTACTATCTTCGTCAACTGAAACATCACAAAATGCTTGATCCTTCTCACTCCAATGCAAATCTAAACAAAATATTTAATACCATTTTTAATAACTAAATATCCTCTATTTACGTCATAACTACGTCATAATTGTTAAACCAATACCATGAATGTAACATCATACATTCATAATACCAATAAAACAAATACTAAACTAACCATGTAAATTATTAATAATATCTTTATAATGTTTGCCAAAATCTTCAACATCATCTTCCTCATCTAACCTCTCGGCAATATTTCTAAGTGATCTTGCCATAAATCCTACCCAACACATTAAGTCAATATGTAATTCTGCAGGATGTGGCGGTGTTGGTCTTGGATAATCATCCAGACCTTAAACAATAATAAAAGTGAGATTACAGCTCAAAAATTATGCATAATATATACTTCAGAAATAATAAAAAATATATATTTCGTTTGTAAAGTCAAATTTAATAATACCGGAAGTTAAAGTATGTCCAGGAGTTCTACCTCTCCATCTGTAAGCCTCTCTACTATTACTAGCTTTTCTACCCCATTCTTTAATTTCTCCCCATTGTGTTCTCCTAAACCATTTATAATTTGATCTTAATTTTGGGTAGATCTCTGCTAAAAAACTTTTTGCTAAATTTAAATCTCGTAAATGACGTATTGGTAAGATTGATGAATCAGTGGTAGTAGTTAGAATATCATGTGGTAATAAATTAAAAGCCGTGTCCGCTGCATATGTTAACAAATATGAAATGAAATCATAAGAATGGATAAGAATACATAGAAGCGTGTATTAATATAGAATTGTGATAATTTTACCATCTATGCCAAACTGTTGTGATTGTGATTTTGTGGCATTATCCAATCGTTCAAGAAAAGCTTCAATCGCTATTAATAATGTTGGTGGATTCGCATAATGTGGATATTGTGTTTGAAATTCAGGAGGAACCTACAAAATAATTCAATTCTTATATATGAGCAGTTATCAATGGTGATGACGTGACTATTTTGAAAATCTTATAGATGAGATTGTGATATAACAAATATTTCTAGATTCAATGGAATTAAATTATGACATACCTTACTTCTAGCCTCTTCACCCAAAATTTGCTCACGCGCAACCCACCCATCATTATCAATTAGTGATACCCAATGTTTGATTATGTCTAAACTATTTATGTTGCAACAAATAAAGTAAATAAATAAGTAATATTATTTAAAATGCAAAGATATAATATTGTATGTCCACCTAAGATCATTATCCCAATTTCCAATTAAAAGCTGATGAAACCCTTCATCCCTGTTAAGTAAAAAAAAAAAAACCATGATTGTGAATAAGTGCGAAAAATTAAGAAAAAATTATACATCAATAGCGTAATCTACCAATAAAATCCGCGAGGAAAAAAAGGACGAGATGGTGTGGCACTAAATAAGGCTGACGGTGGTGTTAATTGAGGATCAGCTTGCCTACTCTTATCCCAAAAATATTCCCCATTTTCATCCACATCAGTGTAAGATCTATCGACTATACTTGATCCATAGAAATACCTATTAACACATAACTGGTATGAATCAAAGTGTTAAAAGAAAAAAATACATTTGCAGGAAGAAACAAAACTAATCACCCTATTCCACCAATCAAATTACTCAACATAGCTTGTGCAAAATAAATATGATCATTATCAAATCCCTTTGAAGCTAGACCAAAGATATTCTCAAATTTTGTGTCAAAATCCTTTGAACTGGATTGAAGATTTGAAGTAAAATCAGATCCTAATAATGCATAAGAATTTGAGCATTGAGCAGATGAATATTAGTCTTTAAAAAACGCATGAATAAAGTCTCCAACCTTCAAGATGTACCGGAGATGAACCTGATTCAAAAAAAATATCAAACTACAAAAAAAAAAAAAAAAACCAAGAAATTAGTCATATAATAAATTTTTGTTACATGATAAGAAAAATTACCTGGAAAGGAGCTTCAACCATCTTTTGAAAAATATAAAAATTGGAATTTTCATTCACTTGATTAGGTAAATTAAATAAGAAAGGCGGAGAAGGAATATCTCCAGCACTAAGTTGTTCTTGCATAGATTCAAATTTTTTGGAATAAAGCGCTTTTAAATAAACTTTCAAGAATAAAGTTAGTGATGTACATAATAAATTGAAACAGTAAACCAAAAATATTTCATTCTTATATACATACTTTTCGCACGCCATATATCACCATCAGGAATTAAATGCCCCCAGTATTGCGTTTTTCGTAAGTCAGGATACGTCTGCATTTTTATTGCAGTAATTTTTGGAATTCTATTATCTGGGCCTATGGAAAACATTTTGAATTAAAGATGATTATAATTTTTATTTAATCTAAACATCGAAACGAACCATCAACTATCTTAATAGCGAATTGTCCCAGATCAGGTGTTTCACCACTAAGCTCAACAGGATTGTCTAACCCCTAAATATGCAACATGTTTAATACATTTAAAAGGTAAACTAGTTTAATTCTCGCCCAAAAGTTACCGATTGATCTAATCTATTTTCTAAATCTATAGTCCCATCTCCTTCTAATCCAAAATAATACAGAAGTGATAGTCCTGAATAATTGCCTATTTTTTTTAAAAAAAGAAGAAAATTAATGAGAACAGGTGAAGATCAATCAAGATCGATCACAAAGATAAAAAGTATTTACCTTCCGAAATAGGTTTTCCAGATATTCGAACAGCCCAATCACCCCCTATAAATATTCACATAAAGCTATAATTTAAATTCTTTTTAATCCTTTAATGTTCATTTTCAGTAATATCTATTTACCATGTCCACCACTCGATACTTTCAAGAATTCAGTCTTCAATATAACATTATTTTTTGCGTCAGTGATAGTTTGAATTGCAAAACTTCGACCATCATGTTTCTTATAACTATATTCTTCTAAATTGTCTGACTGTTCACATGAATGCCTTATGTCTATTGAAAAAATCAATTAATAAAGAAACAAAATTTAGGCGAAAAAAAAATAATACTAATAATAATTAGCTAAAAATTATGATTTTACTTTGAAAACTATCTAGGTCATTAACCCCAAACCACATTAAACCGGTTAGCAAACTTTCAGGTAATCTAGGTCTCGTGCCGAAATACAAATTAGGTCGATAAGTTCCCCATAATAAAGATTCATTTGAAGCTCTATTGGCACTTATTTTATTTTGTATGATTTGTTGTGATTCTGAATTATGATTTATCTCAGGCACGACAAAAGTAAAGAATAAGATGAATGCTATTAAAATAAAATACATCATTAGAATTTGTTTCTTAAGATGAAATGGAATTATTTTATTATGCACTCGTATAATCATTTTAATTTAAAAAAAAAATGTAGACGATGATCATACTTAAATTAAAAAAAATGTAGACGATGATCATACTTAAATTAAATTAGCACGCATACGTACCGATTTTTATCGGTTATTTCTATTCTAATTATTTGTTTACTTGTTCAATTCAAAATCTTAAACAATTGTATAAATAACAAGTTTCCAAATTTTGTTACGTACCGGTACGCTTTAGTTTTTAAATTACATTTGAATGACAGTTTTAGTATTAGGTCTTTGATTTGTTGTTTTGAATCATTAAATTTACTATAGTCCGAACCTCTAATACTTTCGTTTTGCCAAATTAATATATAACTGAAAGTGTGTTTTGAAAATAAAGTTTATTGTTAATTGAAACAATTTGACCAGTTTTGACAATACCGAACCTGATTGAACGAATCGGAATTATTCGTAGATCTTTTTTTTTTACGATTAAAGCTATTCTTTAGTGGAAAGTTTCTTAGATATTTCTCACTTGCTTAAAGCTCTATATCATTAATCATTTTCGAACTAGTACGAAATTTGATGCAATAATCTAAAACCATTTCTTTCGTTATAAGAAAATTTAATAAGATCGAATGTCCATACATGAATACAAGATTTCGATATATTAATTGAGATTTTTTTCATTTATTTTCAACATTTATAAAATTTTGACAAATCATTTATAAATTTAGCCTTTGGCTTTATATAGCCGTAATATAATAAAGTGATTTTTTTTACAGTTAGGATTAGGACAAGTACTAGTATGGATTTTTTTTTTTGTATTTAGAAATAGAGCAGGTTATATGTAGCCATGGCTATATATAGATTTATCCTTAAAAAAAGTATTATTTTTTTTATATAAAAATTGTAATCCTAATTAAACTTAATTTAAATTCGTCAGATCGGTCTTGAATATTTAATTGACTTGCACGATAATTGAAAAACCAAACAAGGACGTTCATATATTTGTGGTCACAAAGTTACTGTGGCCGCGAAGAACTTCCAGTTGCTTGATTTTATGTATCTGTTTATCATATACAATGAGTTTACCATATATAATGATTAATACCCAATTTACGTTCATCCAACCCTTTTAAAAAGTAACTACCTTAATTAGTCAGTCTCGCGAACATGAAATCAAAATATTAATTGAAATACGTAGTAATTTCTAAACCGCGAGTTATGGTCCGATGTGTTTCTATTGTCTTCAACCTTCGATTAAATAGTCGTAAAAGATACATACAATTAATTAGCAACTATTTAATTACCATATAAACAACCTAAACATCTATAATACATTACCTTGCATATATAACAAACTGACGTAGTGTTTCTTGAAATAAAATAAAAACTATCTTATGCCGAGGGTAAAGAAAAATTCTGTATGTGCGTTAACAGATAAGTTATTTATAATTTTTAACTTAGATGTTGAAATTTACAATAATTTATTTCATTTGAATTACCTATCCATATGCCTCATCTTTAACATCCCAATTCCACTAAAATGATACATTTTGACAATGTTTTGATATTATTTGAATGCATATATTCATTCTTGATTTCAGCACATCTTATGAATTAAACCATATAGTTAAACTTCTATTATCATTCAAGAACATAATATGAAATAACAGTAACGCACTATTCATCGTCCTTCCTATTCTATTAACAGCACTGTACCAGACATTCTGCAGTTGAAAACGTCTTATGGTTAATTTTATCATGATCGCAAAATTATTCTGTTTTTTTGTTTGAGATACGTTTTTAAGTACATATAAAAACTCAAAGTATTATAATAAAGTGTTTTTACAAAAAAAGTATATTGTTTTGATCATCAGCACCATCAAAACAAAAAAAAGATCGACACCAATTAGTGATGTAATTAAACGAGTCTTAGGTGTGTAAGTACTGTAAGCACTAAGGTAATAAGTAATTATTATTACTTACATTATTATCTTGCCCATTTCTAATGCTAATTTTAAGAACCAACCAAATTTTTTCAGTAATTTGGTCCGCGATTTTTTTATCTAATATAATAATGAATTCTGCCCTTAATTTAATAGCAAAAATTTTTTAGTGAAATCTTTGGGTTGGTAATGCTAGAGTTCTACGTAGTAAAGTCTAAATTGGCTGGCTTGAATTAATTACAAACATAGTGCAGGTGATATAGTGATGATCATTAATCACGATAACTCTCAAACCAGCAAACCCACACAAATAAAATTATATTTGTCGGGTTCATTTTAGCATGCTCTGTAAAGTAAAAATGTCTTTACTTATTTTTATTGTTTGGAGCATAGCGGAGAACTCTATTTTGATGTTTTTTAATAAAAATATCAAAAAAGTTATGTTTCTGATATTTTTATTAAAAATGCATCAAAAACGACCATTTTGCATAGAAATTGGGTTTTCAACCAATAAAAAAAAAAAAAAAAAAAGGTGTTGTTACATTAAAGAGCACGCTAAAATGAATATAATTTTATTTGTGTGGGTTTGCTGGTTCGAAGGTTATTGCGGTTTGAATTTTATATGTTGTTACGATTACACTATATCACCTGCACTATGTAAGATCTATTGAATTATGACTAATAAATTTTAAATTGACTAGAAAACTCGGAAATTTCAAATAATAAAAAGGAAAGTAATAGGAAATGCAAATAGGGTTCATCTATTTTGATCATTCCATTTCTATTCTCTAATTCAAAAATATGAACATATATGAGATTGGTAAGTCGGACAGATGTTTCTATAATTTGGTTTAAAAAGATCCTACTTTTATTTTTAAAATTCGATTGAGTGAACTAAATAGACACACACATTAATAAAATTAGCTTTTTTTGATAAGCATCAGAGATGGGACTACAGGGGTTAGAAATAGGTGATACTTAATTGTCGCATTTAGTAATTTATTAAGAATCAATTTTTTTAATAAATCACAACATATAACATTTTAATTTCTTAGCCTTGTAGTCCCATCACTAATAAGTGTCTATTGGTAAACGATTATGTAAATATGTCACTTATTTTATTGGAAATCGAATGTTAAACCATTAATTATAAAATCTCCTATCGAATAAATTAACTCAATCAAACAAAATCATGATCATGTGATGTTTGATAATTCTGAATCTCATTACTTAATGTATTTTGTTTGGTAATTTACAAAATTAAATAAAATATTGTATAAAGTTTATTTAAAATTAAAAACTATATTTATATTTTAATAAAAAAAACAAACCTGTTGAAAAAATAAAATTTTAAAAATAGAGTGTATTATTTTAAAATTATATATAAACTTAATAATGTAATAGAACTTACTTTTTTTCAATATTATTATATATTTATTTTTAGCTCTATATTATATTTTATATTTTTCTTAATGTGTTTATATAGTTTATAGATTATTTTATTAGTTTTAATTACCTATTTAATAAGTTAATATTTATTTTATTAGTAGATTTTTTATAGTATTTTATTTTAGCCAATAGTTGTTTGGATATCTAAAATAATATTGTTTAGTGTTACAAGGGTTCTGACCAAAGACTCTAGGTCATGTCCCAAAGATCTTAGGTTATATCTCGGATACCTCAGGTATCTTAGAACACTCTAAAACAATGAAACAATTAATTTAATTATAGTTAATTAATATTTATTAATTATAATACAATATTTACTATAGTGTTACTATATAGTTTCTATGTACTACTATAGTTATTTTTAGTTGTGCTTAAGATAATATTTGTAAAGAGACTTCTGAATGTTAAATAACTATAAAGAGTTTTGTAGATGAATATATAGGTTACACAATAATATTTATTTTATTTTTAATTAATATGTAAGTTATTATACAATAGAGCATTAAGCATTAGTAAAAATAGAAAGATACAATATTGGTTTATTATTTGTACATAAGCATTATTGATAAAATATATATAAAATTTCTTAATTTTTACTACATTTTGAATATCCATATGGTCCAGGTTGATGTTACAACATATAGTAACTTAAAATCAATTAATTATTAGATTAAAAGCTATAAAAATAATAGTTTTTTGCTTTTTAAAAGAACAGTTCTTGAAAGTCTTAGAAATTACTTCTTTTTATATATATAAAAAGTTTCTTATAATAATTATTTAACCAAAAACTCTTAAATAAAATAATCTTTAATTATTATTCTTGAATATTATTTATAAAAACTATTCCTTATTTTATTTTTTATTTTATTTTATTTTTTTTTATATTTTATTTTTATTTCTTTTATTTTTATTTTTGTTTTTTATAATAATATAAAATAAGAAACTAGTTTTTTTAATTGTTATTTGACAAATACTAACTTTATATTATTTATTTTATTCTTATTTTTCTTATAATAATATAAAATAAAAAGCTGGTTTTCTTAATTAGTTATTTGACAAATACTAGTTTTATATTATTAAAATTTAAAGACCATATATAGCTGTTAACAGTCTGATTATTAAGGCTTTTCTTCTTCTAATTATACTCTATAGATATTTCTAAGTTTTTTTTTTTTTTTAAATATTAGGGTGAGTACTTGCGACCCAGGATTTTGTTGATAGTATATTTGGCTAATGGTTGCATTACAATCATAGAAAGCAACCATGAGAAGAATATACAACTAGCCACTCATATAACTTTAGTTATTGTCTAATTTAAGTAGTCTATCCGAAGGTTCTACACTAGCTGCCATACCTGGAACCCACTTGTAGGTTCCCTATTTAACCATTCTGTTTCTGTATCCACCC